ACAATTATGCTACAATTGGATGGGAATTGGGATATAAAAATTCAATGTACCCAGTTTGTAGATATTTTGTAGATAAAATTATAGATTATTTGTATTCTAATTGTAGGTGCTTTGTTTTCTGTTTTCACAAATAAAAAACGACTAAAACTTCTACAAATCTTCTGCAAAAAACACAATTATGTCGAAAATGCCAATTATGCTACAATTGAAATGTGAATTGGGATATTAAAATTCAATGTATCCAGTTTGTAGATATTTTGTAGATAAATTGTAGATTATTTGTATTCTGATTGTAGATGCATTGTTTTCTGTTTTTACAAATCCAAAACGACTAAAACTTCTACAAAATCTTCTGCAAAAAACAGTCTACAATTTATCTATAATTTTTCTACAATTTATCTATAATTTTTGAATATGTCTTCTTCTTTGAGTTTCAATCTGAATTTCAGTCAAAACCAAGTCTAATCTTCACCAAAACCCCTCAAAATTGAGATATAAACTCCAAAACATATTCCCAATTATTTTCAACAACACCCAATCAAAATAAATAATGATTTTTGAAAACCCAAATCTGAATTCAAAAACTTTAAAGCTTTTTAATGACTGTCAACGGTGGAATTGCTGCTCTCTTGTCTATTTGAAGGTTTGTTCTTCTTCATTGAGAAAATTTGAAGCTGAAGGTAAATGTGTGTATGAACTTTGAAGATTTGACTTCAATTTTGATGAATTTTGTTGTTCTTCATTGATGAACTTCAACTGGAGTAAAATGGGGAACCAACTTTGCTGAAGGGTTTCTTCAATTTTCTGTGAATTTAGAGGGAGAATTTGGTTTTAGAAGATGGAAAAGGATAAAAAGAACGTGGGCATGAGTAAAACGTGGGTGGGACTGAGGGGTTAGGAGAGAGAAACGTGCAGATTCCTTTATTTAAGGAGTAAAAAATGTACAATTAATTATACCATTAATTAATTATGGTATAGAATTGGTAATTTGGTATACTAAATGTAATTAAGTCAAACTTTAAACATTGAGGGTAATAAGGTTTCCTATGTGGCATAGGAATGTAAAAATTCCATATTTTTAAGTGACTATTTTGTCAATACAATTGAAAAGATAGCCAAACTCTAATAGCCAATCCAAAATGTGGCTATTTGCCAATTTTATTCCCAAATACCAATCCATTTGGAATTTGGGCTTTTTGTGTAAAAGAAGGAAAGTTGAGTCCTTTAGGCACATGGCGCCCACTAATCAAAAATCATTCTTCTGATTCGGTGCTGTCCAATAATCACATCGTATCATCATTCGCCACCTTACAATTCCACAACCCATTAATTTTTAGATTCCATATTTCGAATCAAATAATACAGTAACAATCAAAGCCCTAATTCCAATCGAATTCACATTCTTCATTTCTCAGGTACAGTGTTCACATTCCACTAATTTTTATTTTTGTTTGTCATTTGATATTTGATTATTTGATTTTCTGTTCTTTTTTTTTTCCGTTCAGGTTCCTCGCACTAGTAAAATTATTAGAATTTTAATACATATTTGAAATGAAATGGATATTTAGGATCTTATTACTTTGGGATTCAAGGGTAGATTTTATTGTTGTAAATTACATATTAGGAACGGAAATTCTTAGTTCTGTTCTTGTAAATCGAATTCCATATAATTGAGCCTATTTAATTTATTTTTTCATAATTGGATGATTTCAAAAAATTTCATTTCTCGGTCAGTAAATTTGCTGTTTCTCAATTTTCTCAAACTTTCATTTATGTATTTATCAGTTGAACAACTCTTTGCTGAAAAAATTATATTGTATATGTAAAAAATTATACAATGTATATATTGGCCAGACATTACTTTTTGTACATATATAATACATCTTGAACATCCTCAGCATAATTTTTGGTTTCGCCACTGATTGACAGGTATATTATTTGATCAATTCAGGTTATTGCTATGGCTGACGAGAATGTTGCCAACGGGGAGGTTTTTGATGATGCAGTGGAGATCGAAGGAGAGGAGGATTCTGATGGTGCATTGAAAACCTCTCCTTTGACGCAGAAAATAGCTGCCTTAGAGCAAGAGAACAATCAACTTTTTCATGAGAACCAAGTTGTCAAAGAGAGGATTGAGAAATTGAAGCACTCGATTGAGGAAATGGAGAACGAGAAGGTCGAGTTACAGAAGAAGGCAGAGAAGTTTGAGTCGGAGAATAAGGCTTTAGGATCAGTAGCTGCACGAGCAGCGGAGCTCGAGGGCGAACACTCGCGGCTGCAGCATGATCTCATAACTGCGATGAACGATCTAGAAGAATCGAATTCGGAGTTATCGAAACTGAAGTTGGCTCTGGGGGGGTTGCAGAGTAGTGATGACGAGAAGAGTGGAAAATTGAGTGCCATTGAGAGTGAAAGGAATTTGTTATTGTTGAAAGTCGAGAAGTTGGAAGCTAGTGGAAATGATCAGAGGGCTGAAGTAGAAGTGAAGGAGAAAGAAATTAGGGGCTTAAAGAAGAAGATTGAGGATTTAGAGGCTACTGTGATGAACAACGAGGCATGGAAAAAGGAGAAGGAGGCGCTTCATATGGTGAAAGATGAGTTGGAGAAGAGGATAACGGAGATGATGGGTAAAGTGGCTGAGTTGGAGAAGAAGTTAGAGGAGAAGGAAACGTTGATTAATGAAAGAGATGTTGACAGCAATGTTAATGGAATTCCAGGAGCGGAGAATAAGGTTGTATCTTCGGGTGTAAAAGTAGATTTGACAGTGGTGGCTGTATCTTCAGTTGTTGCAGTTGCTATTGTAGGCATTTTGTGCTATTTTCGATGTGCAAGAAAACCATAAACTCAGAACTTGGTCTTGAACAGGTCGAGTTTTTTGTCTGACCAAGTTATGGATTTTACAATTTTGATAGCACTTTGCTTATGTTGCGCTTTCTTACTTAGCTTTTTATCTCACTTGACACTAGATTGGATGTTGGCTAGTGGCCATGAAGTACGTTTTGTTTGCGAAAGTGGACAAAGCAACATATTTCTGTTAGTACTTCTCTTTCTGTGAGTTTTTATCGCAACCTTTTTTTTCCATTTAAACAAGGTTTGTTGGTGTAACCATTCAAAAAAAGCATTTGTATTGCACTTCAACACTGGATTCATATATAGTATTGAATGTCTCAAATAATTGAGTTCCTATATAACTCTCCTTTGGTTGATTATTTTGGCTGCCTGAAGTGTTAATGCTATGTTGCATTGAAGCCAGATTGTTGCTGTTGCAATCTTATGACAATCTTACGGGGATTTTCCTTCTGATCGGTTTAATGACTGATGCCTGCCTTCGTTTTTAAATAGCTTAAAGTATTGGGAAAACTAGAAAGAGAGCCCTATTTCAGTATTTTGTACCTTTCTTTAGTAAAGGTAGTTGTATCTTGTCTAAAGTGACTCTGACCTGATAGACGAGGTGCTGCAATGAACTTGCTGTGCTCTAATATCTTCGATTGATCTTTCCCTTCATTTCATAGTTGTATTGATGGTGGTATAAGAATATGTCTTTGCAGCATTAAGTTAGGCACTCCCTATCCCCCTCGGATTTCTTTTGTTTTTTCTTTTTGTGGAAGGGTGGCCGGCAGGGTGGTGGTATGAGGTTGTTTTGAAATGACCTAAATTTGAAGGTCTTTTAATTACTCATGCTTAACCTTGTTCCTGCAACCAAACTGATAAAAAAGGAAATTTTCTCCTGAAACCTCTTGAAATAAACAGGTCTGATCTGAGTGAATTGCTGTCTATTTTGTATGTTCATGCCTTTCTACATTCAATATGTATTATAGTATCTAGAAGTGCTTCGCCGTGGCAATAATTGAAACTCAATTTGTACATTGTGTGATGTATCATAGCTTGCTAATTTATGTTGGCTAGTGTTTTTGCTAACACTACACCTTTCTTTTTTGGCTATCACCCTAGATGGTTATGTGTATGTCACATTCCCCTGCTTGTTGTGGACTTGTTTCCTTTGAAACACTAGTAATTTATGCATTTGCTAAATTCTTTATAAAGTTTTGGCTTATGATCTCTCTTGGGAAGGTTGTCTTATCTAGCTGAAGTGGTATATGACTATGTAACATCATTCTTGAATGAAATCCCAAGAGGATGGTGCACAAAGAGTGAAAACCAATGATGAAACTAGTCTCTTTCCCAATGTTGTATTTGGATATGATAGATATTATTGCTTATGTTATATGTGTTGGATGATGGAAAATTAACCTTATAGTTGTCGTTCTTGAAATATGATCTATATTCTATATAGTTGAAGATCTTAGAATAAAATTGTCTCCATCTGACCTATAGATCACGAGTTCAAGCCGTTGAAGCAACCATTAATGCTTGCATTAGGATATACTCCCTTCGATCCAAAATAAGTGATTTTTTGGCCTTTTTTTTGTGGTCCAAAATAAGTGATTTTTCCAGATTTCAAGAATGAATTAATTATTTCTTTCCTACATTGTCCTTGGAGTAAATAGTGTTGGAGTATGTGTTAGGAGTGTTTATGTGAGATAGTAAAGGTTAATATGGTCAATTTCATTGCTAATTAATGCTAAAAGATGGATTTTTTAATCTGTGTGAAAACATCCAAAAAATCACTTATTTTGGACCGGAGGGAGTACTGTTTACATCACACTCCTAGGGGTACGACCCTTCCCCCAACCCTACATGAATGCGAGATGTTTTGTACACCGGGCTACCATTTCTATAGTTGAAGATCTTAGAAATGTTTCTTAACTTCTTATGCATCCTTTTCTCGTAAACACTCGTGTATAATGTATCGTACATATTAATAAAAACAGTAGCAAATTAGAGTATTGTTTGATGGAATTTTTTAAAGATTATTTAATAAGTAATATGAAATTAAAACTTTTAGATAGTTATAAAGAAAATGACATTCGTCCTTCACAGTAGGGAGGAAAATCATTTCCTCCATGTTAATGAAAAATGTTTTCCTGGTATTCAAAAAAGGCAGCCCGATACACTAAGCTTTCGCTATGCACGGGGTTCGAAGAAGGACCGGACCATAAGAGTCTATTGTACGCAGCCTTACCCTGCATTTATGCAAGAGGTTGTTTCCACGGTTTGAACCCGTGACTTCCTGGTCACATGACAACAACTTTACCAGTTACGCCAAGGCTTCCCTTCATTTGCCGATATTCAAGTACCGAAAAATGATTTTTCTATTAAAAATATATTTCTGAAAAATAATACTCCTAGTAGTAACTTTAACATACAAAACACATCAACTATAACTATTGTCACAAGAAAAGTTGAACTAACTAAAAGAATAGACTGGGGTTTTAGTAGCCTTTGAAAGAACCTTAGGCTGTTTAAATTATGGATCCAACACAAAGTTGTAAGTTACCAATGCAGATCCTTGCCTAGGCAATAGTAGTATCTACTTTCTGGTCTGGTGAAATCAAGCAATAAATTGTTAGGTCAGTTTTACACTAACAAATCAACGGTAAATGCCAATGTATAGTCGCTCTTAAAATAATAATTGGAAATTATATTTTTTTTGTATAGTTTTTTTTATATATATACATTCTGTATGTTATGTACAAAAATTATACAAATTTTAAATACTCTCTCCGTTTCGAATTAGATGAAGTACTTTCCTTTTTAGTCTGTTCCAAAACAAATGACACGTTTCTAAATTTGAAAATAATTCAATTTTAAACTCTTCATTTTACCCTTAATGAGAAGCTTTTATAACCACAAAAATGTCATGGTCCCACAAAGCTTTTACGCCTTAAGGTTTTAAGACCACAAGTTTCAATTTTTTTTTAAACTCCATCACGAGTCAAACTACCTCATCTAAATTGAAACAGAAGGAGTATTTTTTTGGCTACAGAGTGTAAATAGTTTCTGGCGGGCTAAAAGTAAAAAAAAAAAAAAAACAATAATCAATCTATGATAAGAGACTAATTCAGGATGTGGAGCTTATGAATTCCTATAACGACTTCGAGTTAATAATAATAATTAAGTTCATAATTAAATATTTATAGTAATTTTTTTAATACAAATATACCGTCGGTACAAAAGTTACTGAATTCACGTAACATCATAATTTATGAGCTAGGTCTACGACTACACAACCTTCATCAACTAGTATCTATGAACGTGCGTTGCACGTTGATAATGGCACATGATGATTTAAATATTTATTTATATGAAGGAACAATAAAATTTAATTATTGAGAAAAATATGTATAATAATAAAGCAATCATCTAAATGCCAAAAACTGTTATTACATTAGTATAGTACGTGAATTCAAAATGAAAGGACATCATCAGAACTTACACAAATGATAAATTTAGTCATGTTCGTTAAGATAACATAACATTAAATACAGTTTGAAAGTATTTAATGTTATGTTATCTTAACGAACACTTCTTTGTATACGTTTTTCTGTGTATCTTTTCGTTAATTTCTTTAGTTGGCCTGCCATAACCATCACTCTTGTTGTCGATATTGATATCCCTCTTGAAAGTGCAACATATAGTTGTTCATGTAATAAAACAGATTGCGGTAAAAAAATGTTCAATATTTAGGATGTTTCTCATTGTGTTTTATTTATTACAATTACAAAATATAAATATACTGAAAATTATTTGCACAAAATTTAAAAGGATTTTTCTTTAGTTTCGGAAGACCAAAGTTGAATTTGGGGATAAACACATATTTAGAAGTTCATTGACCAATATTTTAATTTCTGTATGTATGACGTTATTATCAAAAGTTCTAAATTCCGTCAATGTGTTATTAAATAAGTTATTCAGCATATTTAAAATTTTTAGTAGTTGACAGGTAAATTCTTCTTCAAATTCAATCTATTGAAGATCAATTTTAGCTTAGTCTATTATACATATGGTGAAACTAACATAAGTAAGATAATGAACTTGACAAACAAACATGCGTGGTAGAAGGCCATTTTATATTAAAGTATTAAAGTATTCTTCTTGGTAGTAATGGTTGGTATCATCTTCTGTTGCGTCAAACTGGGAAAAAAATTTATTTTTACCTGAAACTTAGCAATAAACATTTTATTTAGTTGATCAACATATTCATTTCTGCTAATAGCTCTTTAATTTCCATCATCTAATTTGCACAAATTGCATTTTAATCGAATGATGGAAATATTTTCCTTATTAAATGCACTACTATTACAATTGGGGTTGATAACCAAGTGTTCTGGAAGAACGAAATTATGTTTTATTTGATGCTCTTCTTTGTTTCCGACACGAAGCAAGAAGTCACTAAATGTTAGATATGTTATTACTTTTATATTTCTTCTCAGTTGAATTTTTTCCATTTGAGGTCATACGTATAATTTTGGTAAGCTAGCTTTTACAGTCTATGGTTTCATCAATTTTGGAACTACTTGTAGTACTTAACAGAAATCATCTCCTAAACTATTACTTTTCCAACAAATGGTTCATTAATATCCCATGTATCTCTGAAAGTTCTGGTCAATTGTTTCTATTGTTTTACGCTTAGCCATAAGCTCTTCATTACATATCATAAACTTTACTTTCCTTATAAATTTAGTATCATTGCTATGCATTGATATATTCGTGATGATTATTTCAGTTGTTTGAAGAGGTATATCAAAATCTAAGTGAGTTAACTGCATAATAAAATCGTTGTTGGTACACCACTTTTTATTATTGCTAACAGTATCTCGCCTCTTGATCTAATATTTGCAAGTAATGCATGATATAGGAATATTATTTTGATTCCATCGACACATCTATAAAGAATAATCCTGCAATACCAGAGTCTACTGTTTATAATGGCTCTCCTTTTTCTAAATGAATTTGGACAACATAATACATTCTCAAATCAAATCGGTAGTAGGACAATATAAAACGTTTTTAAATTAAATTAGTAATAGGTATTTTTAAGAAGTATATCCTAAAAGTAATAGAATTACATGGCTAAAAACACGTCTATATTCTGAAAGTAATTATAGCAATAGGAAACTTAACGTATTCTTAGAGATATTAGGTTTATATGCTAATATGTAGTATTATATGTCTATGCCCAAAAATAATTATACTAACATGCTTCCTAAAGATAATCATGAAGGATTCCTAATGTGTAGTATTATGTCCTAAAAACCAATAGAATTACAAGAGTTATGTCTGGAATTCCAGTTATGTCCTTTTATTGCGAGTTATTATAGTTAATATTATAAGATTATTTTCGTAAACCACCATTGTATTTCACGTGCCATGCACATGTAGGCCCAACTACTATTGTTAATTTTATATGTAAAAGATAATAAACTTTTAACGCAATACATAATTTAAACTATTAATATTTCCTGTTAGTGTAAACTTTCATAAATAAAATTTTTGCCTTTAAAATATCAATTTTTTACCCTTTAAAAAAATTATGTTGGATAAAATTCTCATTTAATTATTTTCATAATATTAGGATTTTGAAATCAATGAAAATTTTTTCTATTAAATATTTCTTCATTTGAATTATGTTGGAAATCCTAATATATAGGACTTGTCAATCAATTAAAATTTTATCTTATACAAATTTTTCCCCTGTTTGAACTATATAACATAACTATCTTTATATTAATTTTTCTAATATTTATAACTTTTGAAATCAATTAAAATTTTATAAATTTACTCTTAGAACTTTCTTAGGACCATGCAGAATCAACAAAGATTTTGTTCGGGTTTTCGTAAAAGATTTAACCACTGCAATATGTACCACACAAGAACTATATAATGTCTAATTTGTAACAGATTCTAGCGGATGGATAAAAAGCTTTGCTTTAAAAGTCGTAAATATGAAAATAGTTAGTACGTATACTTTAAGTTTAAGATACATACACCAAAGTATGTACGTTTTTGTCCTATGTGCAAGACCTACCTCTAAATATGAAAATAATCCATTAGTTTAATTAGTTTTGTTCAACTATGTCTCCTAGGTTTTTCGTCAACTCATTCATGATTCATATTATTTCACAATTTACTTTGGAAACCTACGTATTAGTTTTAGAAAAAATGTTTACCTTACGATTTGCCCTATTCGAAGGAATACTACACATGGAAGTAAATACAGATTGTAATCAACCTAGTCGCAGGGCTATTCAGACTAAGATTCTTTTAGTGGTCTCGTTTACAAACGTTAAATAGAACTCTGAATTGAACTCAAAGTCAAGATATCAGGCAAAAGTTTGGTTATTACAATTTTATCCATATGAAATAGATATTTTAAGGCTATTTTAGTAAACCGACACTGTATTCATGCTTTTATAATAATATAGATTATTTAAGTATACAGTCAACTATATATATTTTACCATAGAGTGAATTCATCATATAATAGCAGGTGCATGCGCATTTATTGGTTTGTTCTTCAATGTAAATAAGTTAATAGTAAGAAATTTTTTGTAAATATAGCCACTATGTTAAACCAATGGATGAAGAAAATAATCCCAAGATAAACTTTTGGAATTATTTTATCTCATTTTTGGTTGAAAATTTTAATTTTGAAAAAAGTAATTCCGACATTATTTTATTCCATAAATTTTCTATTATTTTATAGCACATTAAATGTGGAATAACAGTACTTATAGCCTGTTTGACCAAACTGCAAAAATCAGCATTTTTTGAGAAATGCCTTTTCCAAAAAGTACTTTTGGTGAGAAACAGTTTGTGTTTGACTAATTTATTTGAAAAACACTTTTGAGCAGCAATTAATGTTTCGCCAAGTTTTTAAAAAATACTTCTAAATGTTTTTTTTCTCAAAAGTGCTTTTCAAAAAATATTTTTCTAGAGAAGCTATTTTTTTCGGTTTCTATTCAAAAATACTTTTTTCTCTAAAAACTTGGCCAAACACTTTAACTTTAAAAAAAATATTTTTTTTAGAAAAAAAGAAAAGTACTTTTGACCTAGAGAAGCTTAGCTAATCCACAAATAAAACAAGCAAATGACAACAATGTCTTTTTCTCAAAGCTCTTCTCCCAAAATTCTTTAAGAAGGCCATTATTAAAATTAAAATTAACAATTATTTAAAAGTTTATCAAAGTTTGTCTAAGTTCAAATTGAATGCCTATTTTGGATTATACGCCTTATATCTCGTTTTAATTCAAGAAATCAAACAAACCACTAGTACTAAATAATAATTTTTTTTTTATTCCAATATTATAATCTTTGCATCATGATTCCAATATAATTTGAGCCCCTTTGGATTGGCTTAAAAAATTACTTTTCAGCAGAAATAACTTTTAAGCCAAAAAATAATAAACTGAGGTTGTTTTAAGCAATTTTTTATTTATTTTAAGCGGCTTTTATCTTTGCCAAATATTGAAAAAGCTTAAAAGTCGATTTTGACCTGCTTAAAAGCCAATCTAAACTCCCTTTTGTTGACAAAACTAGACAATCCCTCTTTTTTTTTTTTGGTTTTCCGGTATCCTTTATTGGTATTGGGGTCCGATTAAATCTGAATTCGCGTGGAAAAATCTAAAGCCCGTTTGGATTAGCTAATTTGAAGTAGGTGATAAGCATTAAGTGCTGAAAAACACTTTTAAGTGCTGAAACTGATTTAATAAATAAGCAGTTACATGTTCGGGTGCAAGTGCTTAAATTGATAATAAGTTGTTGCAGTATTTGATAAAAAAGTGCCGATAAGCTCTTTTTCTGTTAAAATGACTTAAATAACCTTAGAACTCTTTACACTTATAAGGGCGTAATTTCTTTAAAACTTTAGATTCCAAATCATTCAAATACGAAATATTCTATTTGTCATTTTATTTTAAATACAACTGTGCTTAGATAAGATAATTTTTATGATAAATATAATTTATTTTATGATAAACATATAACTATAAGTTATAATAATTAATAAATTAACAAGCCGATTTTGGCCTGCTTAAAAGCCAATCCAAATACCCTTTGTCGACAAAACTAGACAATCCCTTTTTTTTTTGGTTTCCCGGTATCCAGTGGCGAAGTTAGGAATTTTTCTCAAGGGTATTCAAATTTAAAAGAAGTGAAAAAAACTCGCGACAAAGGGTGTTCAATATGTGTTATATACCTCTAAAACGTAATATTTTATCTATATACACAGTACAATTTTTCAATAAAGAATGGCCAGTTGACCACCCTTATGACCATGTGGCTTCGCCACTAACGGTATCCGTTATTGGTATTAGAACCCGACTAAATCTCAATCTGGATCGACAAATCTAATATTGGAGGATAAAATCTTTCCTAACAAAGACGACTTCATAGCCCCTTAGTTAAATTGGAGGGAGTTTTCAACAAATAGCCAAAAATATTAAGTACTGAAACAGTTTCAGTTTGTGAAGTTCAAGTGAGAAACCTACCTTTGAAAATTACGAGCGCTGCGAAAAATATTAGCGTAGGCTTTAGCCGTTTCAACATATTATTATTCCCTATGCAACTTTGGCTCCCTTTTCTCTTCTTCGTAATTCGTGCACCTGGGGAAAATGAAAAACCTCTTCTTAAACCCCAAAAACACACACACACACACACACAGAAAAAAGAAAAAAAAGAAAAAAAAATTTCACTGTTAAAACTGTCTCTGCCTTTAATGGAACAAGACAAATAATAAAAGAGAAAGAACAAATCTTTTTTCAAGAAGAGAGAGAGAGAGAGAGAGAGAAAGAGTGTGTGTGTGTGTGTTTTTAAGATCTGTTTGAATGCATTTTCTCACTCTGTATTTCTCCTTTTTTTTTTTTTTGTGAAAACACTTTGACCAGTTAGGGTTTGTTTGGACCAAAACTAAGTTCTTTGGCCATGGCATTGCTACTGCATTTTTCAGGAAGATGGTTTTCCCCCCAACAAAGGTAAAGGACAAACAACCCCTTTTTTTATTTTCATTTTTTTAACTTACAAACTTATTAAGCTTCTGGAAATGAAGGGAGCTCATAAAGCTCATTTCTTGATTTTGTATTCACTTTTTTTTTTGTGTGTGGGGTTTCAACTTGGTCCATTCATTATGTCTAAAAAATGTAATTTTTTTCCCTGAATGGGAAATTTAAGGAGCTTCTGATCTGGCTTTAGCATTTGTTTTCTTCCGTGTTATGGTAATTTTTCCAATTAGAATTCATTATATTATTTCCATTGCCTCTTTTTCATTTCCTTGTGTCAAGTGTCTTTCGAAAACAACCTCTCTACCCTCCGGGCTAGGGTTATGGTTTGTGTACCCTGACCCCACACGTGGGATTATAGTGGGTTGTTGTTGTTGTAGAATTCATTATGTTATCCTGTATATATAGTTGAAGCAGAAAGATTGAATCTTGATATGCACATTTTGCTCAGAGCAGGGACTTATGTAGTGAATGGAACTCCTAATAGATATATTAGTTGGATGAGTTTGACTTTGAGGTTTAATTTTGAGTAAGATATCTCCTCCACCTTCCCCCCATACCTTCCCAGGGGAGCCAAGAGATCAGCTATTAAAGTGAGGAGCTTTATAGCAGTGAGGTTATAGGTTTTGCGATTTAGTTATTTGAGCATTCACCCTTTAACACAATTAAAGAAGGTGCATATAGTTTTTCCACCTGGCGTTGCAGGCTATGTTGCTCGGACTCTCTGAAAATGTGGTCGGGTGCGTGTCAGATCCTCCAAAAGTAGTTCATTTTTGGAGGATCCAACACGGGTGCCGCAACATTTTGGAGAGTCCGCTACAATATAGGTTGTAGGGAATTCAAAGATCTCGGGGTTCTTAGGTGAAAATCATCTAGCAGTGAATATTTCTCACAATTCCCCTATAGCGGATATAAGAGTGTTCACAAGATTGACTTTACCTGATAAAAATGAGTTTTCAAAGGATCAATAATTAAGGTAGATCCTCATTTTGAGGTTAAGAATTTCTGCCGGTGAAGGTCAAAGTTCCCCTGTTGCTACCTGTGCTGGTGGGAGAAGTTGAGGTGTGTGTAAGCTGGCCCAGACACCGGACACCATTGTAATAAAAAATCTCCCCTGATGCATATAATCTTTAGTCGCAAAGGACTCCATTGTCATTTTAAGCTGCATAGTTTAATGTGGCTCTTGTTGCTAAAATATTCTGTACCTGCAGGTCTAATTCTGAGATAATGGTGGCAAAAATATGCAAAAAGTTTAGTACTTTACAGTTCATTCTGTAAAATTGACATGTTTTCAAAGATCATACATTTACTTAATGTGGGAATAGAGAAAAGTCATTCAGATAAAGAAAAGAGTCACATAGGTTGAGATGATAAGGAACAGGCAGATAAAATCCAGAGCTTAAAGTCCTATGCTTGCCTGTTTAGGTGTATATCATATAATTCACGTTGCTCATGTGGAGTGGTAATTTTTTTGTCCCTAGAATTTCATGCTTTCTTTTCTAGGTATTGACAACTAGTGAGAGACCTTTCAGCTGGATGCCTATTGCCTAAGGCTACTCCATTCTCATTTCTCTTCATGAAACCATTCAGCCTAAGCTCTAGACCTGTCATGTAGGAAAAATTGCTACTTGAAATCTGTTTCAAGGATATGCAGTGAGGATTTTTTGAGGTAATTATTGTGAACGAAGGGGTTGGATTCTATAAGAAGGGATAAAGAGCCGCTGCTGTTCAAGAGCTAAGACGAGAGGAGGATTTAGAATTCATATATCAGTAGTTGCAGTGCTGGACAGTTGAGTTATCTTTCTTTGTGTTTTCAATCTTCCGGAAGTTGCTGGGAATGAACAGATAAGAGTAATGAGGAAAAAGAAGAGGCAAAAACATGACTAACGAGTCCCTTTGCGCTTAGGAGGCGGGAGGCGGAGTTGAAGACACATCTCTTTAAGATGGTTGGGTGGCATTTTCAGTGCTTAACTATAAGATACAGGAGGTTCTAGTGGTCCATCTTGAAGAGGAACACTAATTTATTGAAAATGGTGCTAAATTGTTAGAGAGGTCTTAAATGGAACCTAAAAGCCAAAGGCAAAATGCAACGTTATATTACTCCATTTTTTCTCTTGGCTTTAAACATCTTACTGAAAATACTATTAGGCTGACGCGCCCTCCCCTCAGGCTTTGGTCTAGTATCAAGAGCACAACGCATGGTATGTGGGTTGGACGCACGTCATGAGTTCAAACCTAGCTGCAGATAAAAGCACGGTATTTAAGTGGAGAAGGGTTTGAGGGGGGGGGGGGGATTATCCACTTAGTTACCATGTACTGCTGACCCTCGGGGATTTTTCACATTAAAAAGAAATTAGGCTTTGAGGAGGAGAAACCTAAAAGTGTGGGATGGGGTGTTTTGTTGGGGGGAAGGGGGGGGGGGGGGATCTAAGCTCGGAATTGAAGCAAGGTGCACTAGTTTGTACTCGCCGGATGCTTGATCCATATTTTTTATTCTTGAAGATGAAGTGTTCCCTTTTCAACTGCTCAATCCCAATGGTATTTCGATCCGATGCTGTTCCAACTGTTGATTTCTGACTGTTTCTTGCTATATCTTCTGCAGGTCAGATAGAGAAGTAGGAGTTGAGCTTGCTTCAGAGGTTTTGAGCTGGTGGTCAACTGTTAAACCGGGTTGAACTTCCTTCTGATTTTCTGGAACATGTGAACTAATTATATTGTTAGTTTAGTAGGGAATGAAGCCATCGGTCCGCGAAGCATATCAAGCTTTGTATCATATTGACAATACCAGTAGTGATGATTCATAGTGCATGAAGTATTTTTTGGCATCCTAAAGCTACTCAGGTTTATATAATTATATTATCTGAGTTTTGATCTGTTCCTATTCAAACTTCAATCAGGATCTAATGCTCAATTAGCGTGGAGGTCTATGATCACTTGGTATTTAACGCGTATTGTATATCCAATTTCCTGCTCGTTACTCCCTCCTTTTTACCTTTCCCGAGCCTTTCCTGAGCCGAGGGTTTACCGAAACAGCCTCTCTACTTTCTCAAGGTAGGGGTAAGGTCTGCGTACATACTACCCTCCCCAAACCCCATATGCGGGATTACACTGGATTTGTTGTTGTTATTGTATATCCAATTTCCTTGTCGTCTAAAAGTCTTAAAGATTAGTCTTCTTTCTTGTTACTCTGACATGGATATATTATGCTTGCAATATTGAAAATGAAAACCATCTAAGTATCAAACTTCAACATCCTACTGTGGAGGAGCTGTGAATATTGCAGGCAGATTGTGAATTTTTTTTGAAATGTGTGAGGAGCATTGGACTGATTTTAGATTTTAGGATTCTTTCTCTTTTTATGTGAAGATGTTGCTAAATTTGTGGGTATTTTATGGCTTTGTCATACATATTTATGTCTGAGATGAGATTGAATTTAACAGCATGGGTCAGTGAGAATTCATATATCCGATCTCAATTTACTTGGGATTGAGATGTAGTTGTCAAACTCAAACATATTTGCCGAATAGCTATGATGAAGATTTCGGCAAAGGGCAAGATATATCCCTCTATTATGTGAAAATGCTTCGTTATACTTTGGGTTCAAATATACACATGTCGTAATACTATTGGTTCATTATACCCCTCTTCTGTTAAATTTGTCCAAGGTGGACATCCAATCCTATGTGACACTGATATTTGATAAGGTGGATGCCACATGGCATGCCACCTCAGCGCTCTTAATCCGTATATAAAAGATTAAAATTTGAAATGCAATATTTTTCACGATAGCGATATGGTGGCAATAGTGGTGGATGGGAAGAAACTTTTAGTGGTGTAAAAAAAAATAGAAGAGGGTTAAAATGGGTTAGGAGCGGTGAGGTGGCAAGTTACCTCATCAAATCTTAGTGCCACGTAAGATTGGATGTCCACTTTGGACAAACTTAACGGAAAAAAGGTATATCTGAACAAATACTATAACGACGAGGGTATATTTGGACTCAAAGTATAACGAGGGGTATATTTAGACCTTTTTTGATAGTATAAGGGTATATTTAGCTCTTTTCGGTAAAGATTTTAATGCTACAAACTCTAAGGACTCCATTGTATTAGCTTTCGTATTATTAATCCCTTATTTGTTACTATTTTTCAGCTTATGTATAACTAATATAAGTAATAGTTACGTTATACTGCCTATTCAGTACTATTCTTATACATTGTAAACCATGACATTGGCAATACCATCAAACTAAACAGTCGATAAAAAATAATTCCAGCATTACTAATACGCCATATTAAATACTATTCTTGTACACCCTACCAAACGACCCCTTAGATTTTAGTCACTACATTTCGAATAAAATAGGGAAATTACCAGCTATGTCCATTTATAAGTAGCTCATTACAAAAATTGGCCAATAGATAAAATATTACTAATATTAGCCAAATTAGCCAATTAGCTATTTGTAGCAAAAAAATATCAAATTTTTGCTTTGTTTTGAGTGGGTGTTATTAGAATAGATTGGACACAACTTAAGGAGTTTGAATCTCAGTTTTGGAATGATTTGGTGAAGTTTTGAGGTGGTTTGAATTGAAAATTCGAAGTAAAAGTTGAACATGAAAAAAATGATATGTGTATCACACTGTGTATCATTTGTGTATCACATATGTATCATATTTGTATCAATTGTGTATCACATGTATATCCATGTATACCTGTGTGTGAGATACATGCGTGATACATGTTTGATACATGTTTTGCAGAAGACTTTTTTGAACTCGATTTAATTACGAATTTTGATGCAAAATCAGTCCAAATCACCTCCAATCTTCCTCAAATTTTGTATATTGACTTATCTATATATTTTCAATGAATTTCAACTATACCCATTGAAAAAGTTCCTTTTTTGTTTAAAATTTTGAAATATTGTATAGATTTTTGTATTTCATCATCTTATTTGCTACCCCGTCCATGAAATTTCCTTTCCGTCTTGTATCTAGTGTTGTTAATGACTCTTAAAAATATGGAAGGTGATTTTTGCATGTGATTCTTTGAGAGAAAGAACCCTATTATTTGATTTTTCAATTTTTGTTGGCTAGTTTTGGTAAGTCTATGACTAATGGCTAGAGATTGGTAAGTTGAGATTTATTTGGGACATTTGTGTAAGTTTCCCAATAAAATATCCTGAACCAGAAAAGAGCTGATTTGTGGATTTGTGTTTGTGCTCTACGTGAGTTAGTCCTTTGTTTTGCAATTTACCATCGTAATAAAGAAGAATGTAATTTTTGGATACAATATATCACTAATAAGTTAACTAGGGGAGAAATTTAAAAATAGCCAGATTTACAAGTGATTGTTCAAAAATAGTCCAGTTTCAAAAGTAATCGAAATCTTGCTACTTTTCATTTAAAGATAAATTTGAGCGAAAACACTGTTCAAAACCCGGAGAATACGCCAGTATATTATGCTGGAGTTCCAGCATAAGTATACTTGAACTCCAACATAATATACTGCAGTTCTAGCAAAGTATACCGATCCAGCATAATATGTTGGAAGTTCATACACAAGTGCTCGAATCTCTAGTATATTATGCTGGAACTTTCCGTGTGTTGGAGTTCCAGCATAATATTCTAGAAGTTCATACACAGGTGCACCGAACTTCAGTATATTATGCTGGACCGGTCTCTGTTGCAGCAAAATAGTGATTATTTTTCATTGACTTGGTAAACATTGGCTATTTTTGAATGGCCTGTTCGAAAACTGACTAGACCGTGCTATTTTGTTATTAACTAGAGTAGTCTTAGGTTCTTGTTATAGGGTTGGCTTTAATTAATATACGTTAGGGATGCAAATTACTCCAGCAATTAGACGCGGAGCCAAAATTTGAACTCTATGTATTTGAACAAAGGTTACAACTCTAGTAATAGTATTATGGCTGAATACATTCACATGCCCTTAAACTTGTCCCTATTTTTATTTGAAACACTTAGGGGTCGTTTGGTATGGGGTATAAGAAGGTATAAGGGTGGTATAAAAATTTAATACCACCTTAATATTCTGTTTGGTTAGTAAATCAGGTATAAGTTATCCCGGTGTTAATTTTAACACTGGGATAACTTATACCTTATAAAAGGTGGGGTAATTAACACCGGTATAACTTATACCTTCTTCTTAGAAATTATGCAATTGTCATTCTTAATACAATATACCAAACAATGAATAAATAACAATCCCAGCATAACTTATCCCAATATAACTGCAAAATTGTACCTATCAGACACAACTTGCTGACTTGGCACATCCGTGTCTTTCACCCAAAACTGAGCGCGTTTGCTGAAAAAACTATGAAGTTTTCACCGGTAAATTAAATTTCTGGCCGTCTCCGGCAAATGCTTTTTTTTCCGTCATCTTCCCCGAATCAATTTCCTCTTCTTATTTATTCTACAAAAAGGGTTAAACACCACTCCTCACCATCATTTTATTCAGACACCATTCATGTAATTATGTTATTCGTTTAGCCTATGTATAATCAAACTTTCAAAATTTTATTTGCTTAATAACAAAGCTTTTAAGAACCAAAAAAAACAACAAAGCTACGAACAAAATGATGAGTATTTGTGATTGGAAGAAAAAAAAAGGGATAAATATGGGATCTGAATGTTTTAGCAATTTGTGGACTCAAATTGCAATGAGACTGATCCCCCAAAAAATACCCTTTCTCCAAAAGATAATTCAGTCGAGACTGAAGATGACAACAATGATGATTCATTAATTTGTTGACGAGGCAACTTTTCAGTTAACGGGGATCCAAGTCAGTTCTAGATGTATTTGTTTGTGTCGGTGTCGGTGAGATGGTAATTTGGTAACAAAGAAAACGTAATTCCGGTGGGTATTGTCTCTTTTTTTAGCCAGAATTCTTGTGTTTCCGGTTACTATTTCTTCCTTCTCTCTCTCTCTCTCTCCAGATTTTGGCTTTTTTCTATTTTGATGTGGCTTTTTCTTAAAATATTAAGGCGAAATGGCATTCTGGCCACTTAAACTTGTACCCGTTTGTAAAGCCGATACATAAACTTACAATTTTTTCATTTGAACACTCCAACTTGACAGAATGAGTACTAATAAATCACTTTGACCATTGACTATGCTTATGTGGCAGTGATATAGGTGATGTGGACAAAATGCGTATCAATCACGCATAAAATGCGCGTGAATGCAATAATCCGATTAAAGAAAATACTATAATCAATAAGAAAAAAATTAAAAAAAATAAAAAAGAAAAGGAAAAAAACGACCCCTAGCCTGTCAGTACTCATTTCCGCTCTCTTTCTTCACTTCGACTTAAGCGAGGAGAGACAACATCAGAAACTTTAGTTCCAGCCAAACTTCGATATGAAGATTGTGTATTTTTACTTTTATCTTACGATTTTGGAGTTTTAGAAAAGATTGGGTTATGATTGGTTGCCAGCGAAGTGGAGGTGGCAGCCGTTTAAGTTTTATGGTGGTCAAAAGTACTCACCACTCTAAACCACCAGTGTCTGAAGAAAACCCTAACATCGAATCTCTTTGCCAAAACAACAACAAAAAAGGGCAGATATTTGCAATGGTATTCAACGGCCTCCACTGTTTCAAAACCATGGATTCCTATTGAATTTCTGAAATTTCAAAATTCAATTTTTTTCTGGTCTAATCATGATCGTAGTGGAGTTGTGAAATTGATTCAGAATAAGAGAGAAAGGAATAGTAAGGAAAAAGAGAAAGGAGAAGAAAGAATAAGAATAAAGTAAGAAAGGGAGGTGGGTGAACGGAGAAGAAGGTAGTGTCAGGTCTTTTTCCTCCTTTTTTTTTGTTTCTACTTCTTTTTTGTTGATTTAGTAT